AATTTTATAATACTAAATTTGGGAGCAAATAAAGTTAAATAATAATATAATTATTAAGACAGCTCCCCCATGAGCCATCTTAAATCCTCCGAAGATAGGCTACTGAATTTTATTAGTATAATATAGGTAATCTTTATTTTAATAATAATAATACGTGGTAGATTTTCACTGATTTTCGTTTAACGTTTTATAAACAGTGGTATCTTAACTTATAAGTTGTTACTGTTTAATATTTATAACATAAAAACAGTCCGACGCAACGAATGTCGTTGCGTTTGTGATAAAATTCTTCGTTATTCGAATAACTAAATACAAGTATGTGAGCAGTGAACATAATATGTTTGCAGTTACAATTATTATAGACATACCTATTGTACAAATATATATCTAATAGTGCTATATTCGTTGTTTGCACGGTTTTTTTAAATATTTTATATGATAATGTTACTTATATCAATTCACGAAGATTTTCAACAAATAAGACAAAGAAAACTATCGATCGTCGTGTAACTGTAATATCATACCATTGTAAATCCTAGGTCTTAGAGTATTACTCTATGTTGTAAATACAGCAAAAATAATATATATATATATGAAACTTGTGATAACTAATGCGCCGAACAGAAGTTTTGGAAGTGAGATACATTTAATTTTTATTTATATACGTACTTAAGTATAGAATTCAAAAATAATATACTATTCCTACTTTCATTGAAAATAAAATTCTTTAAGTCGGTTTGTCGACTTCACTTCGCACCGTCCTGGTGCGCCCGTCGCAAAGTAACCAGTCATTCAAACACGCTTATGATAATATTTAAAGACGTGACCAAGAACCTAAAGAAATAGACACGAACACACGACAAGTTGGACTTAACGTTGGTCTATGTTTAGAAGTAAGTAACAAAACAAACACACCGTCACAATAATATCATCATTACTGACAAACGGCATTGTATTGCGGTTCGGGGGAAAAGGCGTCACCGGCATTTGGGCCGGTGCACGTTGACGCGGTTGTCGTTGCACTGATCGATCGGTCGACTGGCGAGCGTGACTTCCACGCCCTCGGGCCGTTGAACTCGACTAAAGCGCAATTAGACTCGGTCAGTTCACCGAACCGGTTGTAACACCGTCCACGATGTCGACGTTAAGGACTTTGCCGTACCGAGTAAAAGTTCTTCGCAAGTGCTCGGACGTGGTGGAGCTGGTCGAGTGGCCCGACGATCAGCTGGTGGCCGCCGCCGTTCAGATCTTCCGTCCGACACTTTTTGTCCTCATACTCGGGCCCAGCTCTGTCATCGCCGCCACTGTTTAGACCGTTCAGCTGACATTCTTTTTCCTCATACTCGAGCTGCGCGTGCTCGAGTTTCAGCTGCTGAACGATGTGCTAAGCCGATCCTACTTTTTTGACAGCCTTGGCTTTTCGACGATTGCCGCCCATGCAGCATCCTCATCGATGCGCTTTTAAAAACGACGGTTAGCTTTGATTTTTGAATCGTTAAACTTTTTGTACCTAATCCGACAAATACATGTAATCTATAACTGTTATAAAGTAATGGTCCGCCAGTACAATTCTTGTCGTTATTGGAATCGTAGTAATATTATTTTTGTTACTATAGCCAGCGATCTCTCTCAAATTTAAAATTGACATTTTACTGTTTTCGAGTTTTTTGACCTGATTCGTTGCAATCTTGTTGTACGTTTTTTTTTTTTTTACATGTGAAAATAATTGTATTCTTAATTACCTATATTATATAAGCCAAATTTGTAATTAAAGAAACAATAATAACTGGTCGCAAACACTTTGCTTAATATTTTGCCTTGGTTTATTTTTATTTTATCCAGTAAGAAAATACAATCGTGCTTATCTCTGAAGAATGTCGCTCAACGCGAAACTTATATTTACTTTTAAATTTTAATGTGGCTGAGTTTTACGAAAGAATAATCTTATCTAGGACGTGTTTAATGTTATCCAAAAGGCGATTCTATAGGTAATGAAAGATGGTTGAAGTATTACTTTGTTTGATTTTATTACCCGCATTCTTAGTAATAATTTTAATAAACGATGTCTATACATTATTTAAAATATGATTTTAAAAATATTTCATTTTTGAAATATAAACTATTTTACGAGTTCAACAACGTCGTTTTTGTCCACATTGTTGTTAAGCATAATAGACTTTAATATTAAAAATAGAAAACCTACATTATTTGCACGCGAAAGTAAATTTAACATTTTGTGTGATAAATTTGTACAAAATTGATTTAGTAATTAGATAGATACTACTAATGGTTTCATAACATTTTTAAGTTACGCCACTGAAATTCATTATATTGCAATATTGCAGGAAATATATCTCGTATTATTTTTATTAGGTATATTATATTTCATTACACAAAATATCGGAAACAGATCCTCGACGAAATTGATGTAGCTGAATAGCCTATTCATAACGCCGTTTGATGTAAGAATAATAACACATAATATTAAGGCGGTTAGAATTACTAAAGTAACGTACCTATTTATTTTATGATTTAGATCTAACAATCTTACAAAATTACCCATTCGTTACTTATTTCATAGATGATTTACGAAATTTATACATTTCTGACATAAGCTAAATGCCAATAAATTACAGTAGTTCATTGATCATATAAAAATAATAGAAATGATCCATAACCTTTACTTAACTTTAAAAAGGCTTCAAAAGCAAAAAATCGTCATCTGTTGATTGTCTAACTAGCACTCTATCTTGAAATTTGTTATAGAATAACAAATTGACGCTAAAATATTACAAATGAACGGGAAAAAGTGTTCCAACATATATACGATCGAAAAAAAAATTAGACATAATAATATCATATTAAAATTTTACGAAAAAACTATTATATTATTCAAATTAATAATATTATTATAATGAATTCCAAAATACAATGGAAACACTATGCAACTATTTGAAAACTAATAAAAAGAAAATTGTTCTCGTCATTAATTATAACTATAGGGCTGGGATTTTGATGTAAAGGCATCTTTTTTTCTGGTGTTTTGAAATGTTGGTTCGTATAAGTATAAAATGTGTTTTGGGTGATTCTGATTATTTAAAAGTCATTTTTTTTTTCATTTTTTGACTAAATCAATCTTAAATGCATTTTAAGGGTTTTTTTTTTGACGATTTTAGGGCATTAAAATTTTAGATAATATTGATATAAAAATATTTGTTTAAAAATGGATACTTTTATAAAGAATGATAATTTTTTATTGTTGATCATGTGAAAATAATAAGTGTATTATAGCCTATTATATGTTTCACTATTGTGTAGTATCAGTTATTTATAAATTATGATTTTCGAATATTTATAGATAGCAAAGGTGAATACAAGAGGGGAAGAGGGGTGCCCCTCCAAATTAAGTAAATAAAAAATGTATGATTGGGCCAAGCTTTGACTTTTTTTATCCGATGACTTTTTTTTTTACTATTTCTATGCATCCCCTCCATGGAAAATTTCTGGATTCACCCCTAGTACACAGTCAACATTCATGATACTCAGATGTAAAAAAATTGAATTTAGAACGAGCATATACAGTTAATTAATTAAAAGATCAATATTTTATGAGGTTTAAGAAAAAGTATTTACCTAATTATGCACGTAAATAGGTACATTAATGTACAGTGACCACTGACCAGCATTCAGTCACTTTACCTATTATAATTTATAGGTAACTACCAATGTATAATATGTAAATATAAAAATAAACTTAGTTAAATGTATAACACTATGCTATTGTATATTTATATTTATATACTTACATTGGTTGTATTATAACCAATTAGTTTGGTATACTATTTCAGTTATTTTACTTGCAAGTTGCAATAAACAATTTGACTATAGATATATTAGGTATATTGTCAATAGTAGCAGGAAAATTATTAAATCTATTTAAACTAGTTAAACTGTTTAACTATTGTTTCTTACAATCAATCACATACATCAATAAAATGTACCCGTGTAAATATAGGTAATGTTGATATTAAACAGCAGAGATGGTAAACTGTTCTGTACCAAAATGAAAAATAAAAAATGTTGGTCGAATTTTATTTTCCATGCTTATAAACTAGTTCGATGAATTTTTTTCTTGTTAAACTTAAAAATTCCTACAAACTATTTATTTATTTTTTTTTTTTTTGACAGTTATACATGCATATATTTGCCATCTCTGTATTGTGGTCATTGTTTTAACTTGCTGTGCTCACTGGTACAATTGAAAACCATATAGAATTCGTAAGTACATTGCACTTGCACATACTAATATACATAGTGTGTTTTATTCAGTCAATTAATGTTTAGTATTGCATTTCTAATTTCTATATGCCAATAATATAGGTAAAAATGCATGGACGTAGCTAGGATTTTAATCAGGGGGAGGGTATAGTTTATGACCATTTTTTTTTTTTGATTTTTCGATTTTATAGTAAAACTTACATGTTTGGTATAAGAAATAGAATTAAGTTTGAAGCGCAGTGGAGACACTTGCCCCTCTCACTATACCCATGTAATAATGCCTAAATATGTTATGGTATTTACAATATAGATGAGTCATTTGTAATGACTTATGAGTTACATAATGCATTTGATTAATGATAATTTTCAAACCATGTAATAGTTCCCAGACAAAATTCCAAACCTTTTATTTTAATTAGTTATGCAAGACTCTTGTTATTACATTTTATGTTATTTAACCTTATTATAATTCTTGTCTATTCATTTACCAATTAAATGTTTAAATATAATGTATTATTAATTAATTTGTGTGTAGAGTATTGAATAACTTGATAAATAATTTATATGAAATAAAATGAAGAAATTATAAAAACAACCAAATAGCAATTAGATTCTTTAATTAATAAGTATAGACATATTATACAAATATATATCTAATAACAGCGTGCACATGATAAAAAAAAAAAAATTATATATTATTATAATAAAAAAATCACAATCCATTGGGAGGGGAATACAAGTTGATAACAGTTTATTACAGAAAATAATAATCGACAATGATATTAAAAATTATATTGATAACGATTTTCAAGCTTAACAAAAAATTCCATCATTCTAGTGCAATTTTGTACGACATGGCCAATGATACAGAAGCGGCTAATAAAGATGATCGTTGGCTAACACCAGTCATTACTTCTTGCCATTCAGATGGGTGTACCTAAAAAGTATATTCGCAATTTAGAAACATAATAATTTGCAGTAGTCTTTATTTAGTTGAGGTCATTTTACTTTTAAGTTGCTGGCCATGAAATGTGCAACTGGTATACTGAATCCGGTTGAGATGTGTTCATAGTCTTTAGGTGTATCATCACTAATCAAACCAACAATCGCTGTAGGTACAGGGACACTTTGAGTGTATACTTCTAAATCTATATTTCGTTCCATGTCATTAAGTTTCAATAGACCAAATTCATACCATCTAATAAAAAAAAAATTGATAATTTGATTTGACTGAAATCAAAATATAATGTTAGGATCTTTATAGAAAGTTTTGTTATTAATTTTGAAAAATTTCTTGTTAAATATATGGTATAAAATAAGAAGTCTATAAGTTGTTTGTCATTATTTCTAATTAAAATTTTGTATGACATATTTATAAAAAAAATCCAACTTACTTAGATTCTATTGGCTCTACAATAAATCTTTCAAAGGCGATGACAGGACCTTTCACCACATGTAATCTAACAGAATCGATGCAATATCTTGTGGCTTTGGATGCAGCAGAAAATCCAACTAATTGTGCAGCAAATGGTTGATCTGGTGCTTCAAGTCCTCTAAAGTAAGCATAATATTATGTTCTACAAAGTATATAACAAATACATAATTTAAGACATGTAAAATAATTAGCTACCTGACGACTGCTTTTCCAAAAACTTTTTGAAAGCCCTCTCTTACTGCGCTAACAACAATTTCTTTTTCGGAAGCCACAACCACATCGGTGTTATCAAAAGTATTGGCTAAAACATAAACAGTAATTTTATAGTATTGTATTAAAAGAGTATACATTATTTTTTATTTGATTACGATTTAATGTATCTTTCATTTGCGGGTCTAATGTTGTAAGTACTGCATCCACAGAGTTCTTTGCTTTTTCGGCAACCATAGAAAAAATACTAGAACTACTGCCCTTCATCCAATTAAACAAATCAGCTTTGCTTGATGACTGTTCACTTTTAACTGCTTTATCAGCTACTGCTTCATTGGAAGGACTTGTGGGCAATTCCACATTTTCTTCATTTTTACTAGTTATCACAGGTCTGTAAACAAATAAATATAAACTACATAATATAAAGATCATCATGTCATGGTTACCCAGGTTTACATACGAAAACATTGGAGTGTGAAAGTTTTGACTAGTCACGTCTGTAGCATTCAACACAGGGTTAGACTGAGTAGCTCTAGGCTCTATTGAAAAAAATCAAAGTGATTACTATTCAAACTGACCAAAATAACTTTGATGAAGAGAAAGAAAATGACTAAAAATTATTAACTGTTACCATTCAAAGCGTCAGTGACAAAACTCGGTAATTGCGTTGGCGGCGGTAGCTTTGACAGGAGCTGATCGGCTTTTGACATTTTTCTCGTGGGACCAGTAAAGACAGAAAAATTAAAAAAATTAAATACAGAATAGTAACAAATTTAAAATAAAATCTTATCTGGGATACGATCGAACGATTTAGTTAACTATTACGAAATATAATAGACTACAGAAATGTTTTCAGACTCGTTCAAATAGTTACTCAGCTAGTGATACATAAACAAAATACTGTTATAACAAGATGAAATCGTTATATTAAAATACATTATCTCGATTATCAATTATTACATTCATCACGATTGTCATCGTGAAAACACTCACTCGTCGTCGATCCGTCCATGTTGGCGATTGCGAATCCCAAAAACGTTTTTTGGTTGGACAGCAATTACAACGTAGTTGTGCCGGAGATGACAATAATATTATTGTTTATCGTAATTTTTTACGTCGTCCGTCACGACTATACTATCATTCGGTTCTATGACACGGCAACTATGCACAGATCAGCAACGCCTCTGATGTCTATAGTTGCCACTTGGGTATGCCACTGTTCAGTGTTCACTCACTGCCCCAACAATCCTGCAACAGCCACGGTCAGATTCGATATAATATTAAAAATTGTAATATCAATTGATAATAATTTTTAATTAATTATCACATTTCACAAATTACAATCACAGATCACAATAATTAAACATAGATAACAATGGTAATGGTATCATAGAATAGATATAATATGATGGTATTATCATCTTATCTCGAGGAACGATAACAATAACATTACCCCTTGCTAACGCTTGATGCTTGAATGTTGTACTTATAAACCTTATACTCAGTTGGTCTCAGAGTATAAGGTCGTAAGGTTTGTAAAAATAATTTAAATAAAATAGGAATACTAAATAATAATAACAATAAATCCTTTAATCGCGATGGAATCACAGAATAGATTAAATTGCATTGGCTATTAATAATAACGAATTCACAGGACTAGTATGTATCATTGTTTATAAATGTAAAACTTGAGTTACCTACCTACCATAAGCATATAATTTTTACTTTTTATTTTAGATAATTGGGTTTTTTGTTTATTCACATGATATTATATTTTCAGTTTTGTCTTTTGAATGGTGAATAATTTTCTTGATCATTATTAGGTATATTGTTTCTCTTAGATATCAATAACACTAATTTTTTATTTTTAAACACTTTTATTGTTATTTAGTAGCCAATTAAAGGCAGTGACGTATTTTCAGGAGAAGTCGAGACCCCCCAAAGAAAAAAAGAAAAATTAAGTTCAAAATTAATAATATAATTATAAATATATAATTCATAAATCGTTGTAAACTAATTTATTTTTTAGATCCCTCATCAAAAAAATAAATAAAAATATGCCAATGGTTATTGCTTTATCAGTATCAGTACTTTAAATTAAAAATTATACTATTTTTATAATAATGTATTGTTAGTTTGTTACAGTAGTTAATATTAGATGTATGGACATAATAAGTTTAAAAAAAATATTACAATTTGAAACTGTAGGCAGGCATTTAGGTATCTAAATAGTATTAATAATTGTCATTATTATATTTCAAATTACATTTTCACGCGAGAATGTAAAATCTTACTTGTTATTCGTAAAAAAGACAGATACAACTAATGTTCCGTGCTTGCTACATAATAAAATAGAATAATACATTTTCAATTTTCAATTATTTTTATTATTCGTCTAAACTTCAGTACCAATATTCAATATGAAGTTTTTAAAAATCTGATATGACATTTTGTCATTGAAAATTTCGATATTGCTTATTCTTGTTATAAATTTTATAACAGCAAAACCTATAAAATACTTCAAATATGGATTAAGCAAATAATAACCTTTAACCAGTATCACAAAGATAGGTTCACTTTATCTTAATGGCCATGTATGTTTGGTCGTCTACACGCTGTACTCTAGGGTGTGTGTAAACATCAATAGAAACAATTTCTATCTGGAGTATAATATTTTAAACACTAAAAAACTACACGCGTAGGGTAAATCTGATCTTCATCTGGTAAGTGTATAGATGTCTCTCGCCGCGCCTGCTGGATGCTCACCATAGCTATGGCTACGGCATGTATCGTAGCGTATCATATCGTATCCACC